TAATCTATTTATTTGTGTGTGTGTGTGTGTGTGTGTGTGGCCAGCTCAGCCCACCAGGGGGCGGGGCTGGCTGGCATGTGGTGCTGGGGGGTTGAACTGTGGTCCCTGTGCTTTGCTAAGCTTGTTCTAAGTAGGTGCTTTAGACCACTGAGCCATCTCACCAGCCCAGAGATTATAATTGCTAACAGTTTAATATAGTTCACACTAAAATCTTTTTTTGTTTATTTCTTCTCCTTTTAATACACATAGAGCATAAACATATAGGGAGTGGATGTTTGATTTAAAAAATGGAAGATGTTTTTACATTTCGTACTATCATGGAGAGCCTCCATGGTTGTACATACAGATTTATCTTTTTTGTGTATGTGTGTTGTACATTATGAGTTGGTGCCAAAAGAAACAAGAAGTCCTGATAAATGTAGCCTCAGAGGTCTCACTGAGATTCGTCTCCCTCGAAGTGATCCCAGAACTTCAGAAGTATCTCACATGTATTGAGGGCTAAAGGCAGGCTAAGGAATGTGCATAACTACTTAAGTGAACACAAACTACTATCTCTATGGACTTCGACCATTTGCCTAACACTGGGTCCACACAAATGCTAGCTGATAACATCCCAAGCAAGGGATCAAAGAACAGACAAGGAGGCAGCAGGAGAACCTGTTATCTGTAGCCTTGAATCCCTGCCTTCCAGGATTTATAAGTGAGAGACAGCAGCTCTCCCAGGGCTCTGGCTATTGCTCCCTGCTCTCTTGGGACATTAGGCTTTTGTCTCATATCTATATTTCTATATATGTGAAACCAGGTTTCACTATGTAGTGCCACCTGGCCTTGAACTTGCTTAGGTAGTCCAGGCTGGCTTTGAACTCATGGCAGTCCTGCTGCCTCAGCTTCCTGAGTGCTGGGATTACAGGCTTAAAAACATGTTACCACACCCAGCCTTTTTTTTCCCCCCAGTTTGGAAGCAGATACTTTCTTTCTTTATTTATTTTTTGCAGAACCGGGGATTGAACTCAGGCCCTTGCGCTTGCCAGGGAAGCGCATATTCCACTGAGCCATCTCCCCGGCCCCGAAGATACTTTATTAACTGACCAAATCATAAAAACACCATGGTAGATATCTTGGTTCATCCTTCTAATAAGTCTGGTGATCTGGTCTTCCCTATTTCCAGTATTTCCACCTTCCACAAAATGGGTGGTCTTTTTTTTCATTCCACCTCGTGGAGATGATAACTTGAAGGGCCACAGGAAGTTATTTGCCTCTTTGAAGCATTTTCCAACAGTATAGATCTCATGAATCAGATCCTCCACGCAGATGATTCCATATTTACCAAGAGATCGAGCAATCACTGAGTTATCTGTTAAGGCAATTTGCTTCCTACTGATTTTGCCATAGCCACGCTTGTATAGTTCCTTTACTGACATCAGGTTTGGGTGCCCCCATGCAGTGTATGACTCCACAATTCTCAGCATGTTAGTTGAAGCGTTGTTGAGCTTAATGAAGGTACCATTGAAGATTTGGCGAAGGCGAAGAAGCTGTTAACACCTTTCGGACCTTTGGGCTCACACCACTGATACCCCTGATCTGGATGACAAATGCCAGTTTGGGCTCTGCAGGGACATAGAAGTTGCCAGCTTTTCTCGCCATCCTAGCCATTTAGGTCTCAGTTCTATATATCTGTCTGTACTCCTTATAATAGTGCCTGGCTTTTTCATAGATGAGCTTTCTCCTCGCCTTGCGAAGCATCTTCTGGGCAAACTTCTTTCTTAGGTGCTTTATCTTCAACTCTGCGAAATGTCTTTGCTTTATTCTTTCTTTTTTTTTTTTTTCAGAACTGGGGATTGAACTCGACCCTTGCGCTTGCCAGGGAAGTGCTTATTCTACTCAGCCATCTCCCCTTTGCTTTATTGTTAAGGGTTTCTGGCACAGCAGGAACCTTCTTTTTCTTCTCTTCTACACCCTCCCTGGTTCCAGCCAGAAAAGCTTTTTTTTTGCTTTAATAGCTGTTATTGCAAAATGTAGATGTGCCATTGTTTAACACGCAAGGAGTGCTGTTTTGCTATTACAGCAATACTATGACAAACTTCCTTGGATCCATACTCTTGGACACTTGTGATTTTATTGATAAGATGTTGTAAGTGGATATATTGGCCAGAAGGCGTGCATGTTTATAATTTTGAAGAGATCCACAGCCAGATTGCTCTCTACAAGTGAACAAAGTTCTGCAGCAGTTTATGCCTTCCCTAAGACAATATGTTATTAGTGTTTTGCATTTTTGCCTGATGTGGCAAAACAGTTTTTTGGCTTTGGATTAATTTCTAATTATTAATGAGGCTTAACTTCTTTTAATATGATTGGTAGGTATTTGTATTTCTTTCATGAATTGTCTCTTCATATTCTTTGTTTAGTGGCCGATATTGTCTTGTACTATCCTTTACTTAGAGTTCTTCTGTGTATGTATGGGGGTGCGTCATGGGGATTGAACACAGGGCCTTTGCAAGTGTTGGGATGATAGGTGTGTGCCACCATACCCAGATTCCCCAGCCCTTTTGTGTTTTGAGATAGTCTCACTAAGATGCTAAATTGTCCAGACTGGGTTTGAATTTTTGATCCTCCTGTCTCAGTCTCTCAGAGTGCTAGGGTTATGGATAAATGCTACCACACCCAGCTTTACTTAGTGATTTATGTGGGAGTAATTTATATGTCACAGATACTAACCACTGTATATGGCAGAATTTCTTCTTAGGTGACATTTTATAGTAAGAAATTTAATGATTTCAAATGTGTTATTATTTATTATGTGTTATTTACTGTTTTCATCTATGGCTTCTTGATTTTGTATCTTATTTAGGAAGGCCTGGTCAAAATTATTTAATATTTTTGAGCTTCCTTGTCTTTATTCATTTTTATTTTTTGGCGGAACTGGAGATTGAACTTAGGTCCTTGTGCTTGCCAGGGAAGCGCTTATTCCACTGAGCCATCTTCCTGGCCCCCTTATTCTTAAATACAGAGGAAAATTATACTTCTTTTTTTTTTTTAATGTTTATTTATTTATTTATTTATTTTGTGTGTGTGTGTGGCCAGCTCAGCCCACCAGGGGGGCGGGGCTGGCTGGTATGTGGTGCTTGGGGATTGAACCGCGGTCCCTGTGTTTTGCTTAGCTTAGCTTGTTCTAAGTAGGTGCTTTAGACCGCTGAGCCATCTTACCGGCCCCAGATAGAAAGAGTTGGGACGGGGGCACGAACTGGCGACCTTGCACTCCAGAGCCCGACGCGGAGACCGCTGCGCTAGGTCGCCACCTGTACTTCTTGTTAACAAAATTACAATGCATAAGTATAAAAATCATGTTGGCAAACAACATGCACTTAGCATTGTTTATTCAGGCATGTGACAAATACCTGTTAAGTTTGTTCTGGATGCCAGTCATTGCCTTAGATACAAAAGATGTAGAGATGTCTTTTTTCCTTCAAGGAAGGGTAATGGTATAATTTTTTCCCTGACTAATTCCCTTTAAAGACATTCTTTGTTAATTTGTGTGACAGAGCATTTCCCACTCTAAAATCATTATAATAAAATAGCTTACACTCTTCTTTTCACTCGGTGGTTTGATTTACTTTCTACAGGATTTTGTTTGTTTTTCACAAAAATGGTCATTTGAGCTATAAGGCTAAAGTGCAGCCCCCTCGGTTGAATGGTGCGAAGACTGGAGTGTTTTCTACAAGGAGCCCTCATCGCCCCAATGCAATAGGACTGACCCTGGCCAAGCTGGAAAAGGTAGAAGGTAACCCATTTCATTTTACTTTTGTCTTGTTTTTCTTACTCCAGAAAGCCTTGTAAAATCAGCATAGCATTCCCTGCTTCCTGCTATTTATAGGAACACTAGTGATATTAACTCCTGAGAATCACCAGACCCTGAGGAACATGATGACTAAAAGAAAGTTAGCACTGAAAATTTTTAAAAAGTAAACTCCCATAGGATGCTCAGAGTTTATCATTCCTGTAATCAGAAAACATTAAATTAATTTGAAAAACCCAGATTTCACAGTGATTATGTCAGTAGCCAAGGCAAACATGGTGGCACATGCCTGTGATCCCAGCACTCTTGGAGATTGAGGTAGGATTGCAAGTTTGAGTCCAACTGAGCAACTTAGCACTTAGTGATGCTGCTGCAAACAGAGACACTGATATGTCACCCAGGACTTGGGTGCAGATTATTGACACTGAAAGACCTGACTGGGAATCATTCCCAGAGTGTCAGCTCTCGATCTCTGCTAGTCTAGGGCTCACATGGGGTTTAAAGCAGGAAGTAAAGAAGCAGAGTATTGGTGGTTATTGATTGTTACATCTTAACTCCTTTCTACTGATTGGCCTAAAGGAAAATTATATCGTACAGGCAAGCTCAAACTCTGGGCAAGCTTGGAGTTACAGGAAACACTAGGTTGAGGTGATATATGGGGTTCAGGGTAGAATCAGTTAGATAAGGGAAATATACACACTTAGTGTTGGAAAACAGATCTCAGGTGAGTAGCTAGTTGTAGGCTGGCATAGGACCTCAGAAAGTACAATTTAATTCTTATTTTCCTTTTCAGTGATACTTTCTCTTAAAATAAAAATAGCCCAGGGATGTAGCTTAGCGTGAATGTCTTGGGTTCAAGCACCAGTATCACAAAAATAGATAAATAATACAAAAAGGCTGGAGATGTAATACAGTTGTGGAGTGCTTGCCCACCATGCACAGGCTTTGGATTCAATTCCCAGCAGCTCAAAGAAAAAAAAAATTATTAACCAAATTTTCTTAAGAGTTGAATACAATACATATGAAATGGTTTTTAAAAATTGGATTCTTGGGGGCTGGGGAGATAGCTCAGTGGAATAAATGCTTGCCTGGCAAGTGCAAGGTCCTGAGTTTGATCCCTGGTACCACCAAAAAATTTAAAAACATAAATAAAATAAAAATTGGATTCTCCCAGATGTAACGCACAGTAACTAGCCATACATGCAGGTGCAGTATAGCAGTGTGGGGCATCATTTCTTCCTCACAGCCTTGAGGAAATTGACATTGAAGCTGCAGTGCAGCCATCCACTGTGTTGTGTGGCAGGGCTGTGGATTGAAGCACACTGAAAAATCAAACATCTGGGAGAATCAGCACTCTGGTAGGCTGACAGAGGAGGGTCACAGGTTGGAAGCCAGCCTGGAAAACTTCAGAAGACCCTGCTTCAAAATAAAAAATAAGATGGGATAGGTTCAATGCCCAGGACCAGGAAAGGATGGCAGTGGGGAAGAGGGGACTGAACATCTGTTAGAGAGGTCAAGGATGAAATATCGGGGAGATCAGAAGTTTGCTTTAGCTTGAAGGATCTTCCCTCTCAGACTTCGTAGGAGGTATTTTGTTAATGTTGTTTCATTGGTATTTTTGGAAGATCTTATAAGACAAAAATCTTTAAGAGTATTCTTTCAGAACATTGGGCACTAAATAAATGAGAGTGGTTATTTTGCTTTTTATTTTTGTAGAACTTAAAACTCCTGTGCTGGACTCCACCCAATCCAATAGGTTTTAGGTATGTTTCCCAGGAAATTCATTAGTGGATCCATCTACTTTAAGTTTTTTAATTTTTTTTATTTATTTATGTGTGTGTGTGTGTGTGTGTGTGTGTGTGGCCAGCTCAGCCCACCAGAGGGCGGGGCTGGCTGGTATGTGGTGCTGGGGGATTGAACCGTGGTCCCTTTGCTTTGCTAAGCTTGTTCAAATAGGTGCTTTAGACCATTGAGCCATCTCATCAGCCCCATACTTTAAGTTTTATTAGTGTATGTCAGCTTACCAAATTAGGTAACAATATGGGAAAATTTTATCATTCATGCAACCTGTACATATTTTCTATCATTAAATATGTGATAGGTTTTACTCTCAATGCTAGAGATATTGTAACCAAGTCAGATAAAAATCCTTGGTCTGAAGAACTTAAAATTCTGTTAGGAGAGATCAAATCAGAAAACGTGAAAGAAAAAACTTAACGAATTATAAATAATATGAAGATAGAAAAGGGAGTGATTCCTTCCTGCCCATGGGAAGGGGTCATAGCTGATGCCCCTATAACAGCAGATAGGTTGACAAGAAAAGGTATAATAGGGGACCTGGCTCTAGCTCAGTTCTTTATGTGGCTGCTTCCACAAAGCTGTCAGCCTCAGGTAGCCAGCCAAAACTGCCCTGAAGGCATTCGAGGAGCAAAAAAAAAAAAAAAAAGAAAAGAAAAGGTATAATAAACCTGGCCAAGTGTGGTAGTGCATACCTGAGTCTGGCTACATGTTTGTTGTTTTTTTTTTTTTTTGCGGAACTGGGGATCGAACTCAGGCCCTATGGGCTTGCCAGGGAAGTGCTTTATTCTACTGAGCTTTCTCCCTGCCCTGAGTCTGGCTACATGACTGGCTAAGGCAGAATGATCACAAGTTCAAGGCTAGTCTAGGCAACTTAATGAGACCCTATCTCAAAATAAAAAATAAAAAGGACTGGGGATGTAGCTCAGTGTTCTCTAGGTCCAATCCCCAGTACCAGAAAAAAATTCATTAAAGTTTTGGAAAATTCACAGCATGGGAGCCACATACAAAGATATGAGGTTCCCCATGAGCTCTTACCTGTGCTACAGTGCTTTTTATTCTCCTTTAGATATTGTTAAATCTATAATTTATAAAGTCCAAAATCTTTCTGAAGTTCCAGGCTCATTAATAGTGTGCATATTTTAGAAATTTGGGTCATTGACTAGTCATGTTTTTCTTAAATGGAGACAGAATCAAATGTGACCACATGAAGTTTTTCAGTTCTTGGTTGGCCAGTTTCCCATGGATCATGTTAGTAGCCTCTGCACCAGTAGGAGGAAATGGACAGTATCTGTCCAAGTGGGACAACAGGAGATCTATCCTTAATAATTTGGTAATGGTGATTTGTGTGCTGATTTCTTGTTTAAATCTTGATAAATTTATTTCTTTTGCTGTGTAGTATATTACAAAAAAATGCATCAGTTTAAACAGTGCACACAGGGACTGGGCTGATAGCTCAGTGACCTAAGTGTCTGGCAAGCACAAGGCCCTGAGTTTGATCCCCAGTACAAAAAAATAAAAAGAAACATTTCTAAACAGGCACATTGATAATGTGTTTGAAACATTGCTGTCATTTTGTGGGTCATGAAGATGAGCTCACCAGAGAATCCTCATCCAAACTCACTTTATACAACTACTTCCTGGTAGTTATAGGACTGAGAGTCCCAGCTGTTTGCTTGTGTTGGTTGGAGATCACCTTCTACTCCTAAAGGCTGTCCACATCTCCCAGAGAGAGCTGGTAGTTCCTGGCTATGTGACCATTCACACCGTGCCTGCTTATGTCCTCAGGTTGCAGAGTCTCTCCAGTAAGTTATCTGGCAAGTAGATGTCTTTCATGAAAACAGCATTGGGGGATAATGCAGCACTTTTGCCATATTCTGTTGCTTAGAAACAAGTTGCATGAAACAGGAGAATCACTACAAGTCTGATCTATGTAGTGAGACCCAGTAGACCCTGTGATAAATAAATTAAAAAAAAAAAAAAGATTAAAAAGAAACAAGGTACATCCAAAAGAAAGGATTATGCCAGGGCCTGAACACCAGGAGATGGGGGTCAATGGAGCCACCTAGAATCTGTTTGCCTTATTGGAAACTCTTGTTGGTCCTTCAGCAATACATGGAGGACTGTTACATTCCTAGACAATTAGAGGTACCAGTACTGTGTGGACTCCACCCATGCTTACTATAGGGACACAGACTAAGCAGGCAAGAGGGCTCTGGGAGAGGTACACAGGCTGTTCTTTGAGACCCAGAAAGAATGTGTTGTCTGCAAGCAGCAAAGGCCTTGGAGAAGACATGGTCTTTGAGAGCTTTGAAGAGCAGGTAGGAGTTTGACGGGTAAAGTAAAATGGTTTCCAGCTAGAAAGAAAAACCTATGTTGACAGTAGGTGTATAGAGCCTGGTGAATGAGAAAAATGTGAATAAACTCAGTGAAGCGTAAGCAGGCTGTTGGAGAGAGGATTTAGGGTAGAATTTTGTCTTCCAGTTGTTTATACTGTTCTTCACATTGAATTTTTTTAAGAAGAATTTGTTCACCTTCTAGGTGGAGTTATATATCTGTCTGGAATCGACATGATACACGGCACACCAGTACTAGACATAAAGCCCTACATAGCAGATTATGACTCACCACAAAATTTGATGGAATCTTTAGGGGACCTTAATATGCAGAATGACCAACATAAACCCAAAACTGTGTGCCAGTCTGATGGTAAGACTAATGGCTGTGACCAGCAACAGCTGTCAGGATACAGTACACCGCAGCTGTACCAGAGCACAAAGGAGAAACCTAAATGTTCTGGAGACAGAGCTTCAGAAGAAAGCTCCCTGAGGCACAGTGATGCAGCCAAAGACCAGCAGTGTTTGCCTCAGTGCGGAGAAAGAGCAGTGGATCTTAGTGTGGAGCCAAAAAGCCATCAGAGTCCGAATGTGGCAGACAAGCATACGGGCCCACAGGGCCTGGAGAAGACCCTTCAAGAAGAAGATACAGACAAGAGGCCAAGGAGCGAGGAAGGAGCACCACTTGTGCAAGGAAACAGTGTGGGGATGCAGCTCAGGCCTCGCCCCTCCCCAGCCAGGACCAGGACAGCTGACAGCACTGCTCCTGCCTGGGTGAGAGAGGCACCCACGGCCCCTTTACAAGTCCGGTTTACTCCTCATGCAGAGGTGGACCTCCGGCAGCTCAGCTCAGCAGGTACATCAGGTATCCTTGGTTTTTTAGTCCTGACTGAAAAATGAGCTTGTACTCATTATAAGATTTAGCTACATGTGGTATATCTGAGGCCAAGTTATAAGGAATATTTGTCAGTATAAGAAATGAAGAGAATAAACTGGTATTTGGGCAACACTAACATGTGATAACTTTTGTTTATCAAGAGTTTGATCAAAGTTCTAGGTGCTTAGTGCAGCATTTGCACAGCATTGTGACTGCCTCCAGCAGCAGCCATCATCGGTAGCCCCTTGTCTTCCTGTTCATTATTCTCAGACTTTTTGAACAGGATTCAGAAACTTGTTTTGTTCTTTTTTTTCACGGAACTGGGGATTGAACTCAGACCCTTGCATTTGCTAGGGAAGCGCTTATCCCACTGAGCCATCTCTCCGGCCCCTGTTTTGTTCTTATATATACTAAATTTCTTGTCTGTTTTACTACCAGACAGAAAAAGTGTTGTGTGTTATTATAACAGGTAGCCTTGCCACAGAGGACTCCAGGACCTACAGGGAGGGGAAGAGTTTCTTTACATAGAACTTGCCCTGCAAAGATCCAGTACTATAGACATGTTCTGTAGAGAGAGAGGCCACAGGGCCCTTCCTTTGGAGCCCCTTTAACACATGATTCTTAACACATGTGATTTGGCTTCCCTGTCTCACAGCAGATCCTGAGAAACAGTCTAATATGAAGGAACAAGTTGTTCAGAGGCGCAAACGGTAATGCTAGTTAGAAAGAGCCACCCATGCCAGCCCCACCCCCAGGGCACCCTGAGGCTGTCATTGTGATTGGGCAGGGTGGCGTACGCCTATACTCCCAGTGCTTGGGAGGCTGAAAACAGGAGAATCACTACAAGTCCGATCTGTGTAGTGAGACCTGTAGACCCTGTACTAAATAAATAAACAAAACAAAACCAGAAAAAAAAGGAGCCGGCTACTAAGGAAATGTTAGATTTGGAAAGGTAGAAAGCTGTTCTTTATGTTACATGATTAAGAGGCAACATAGCCACATGAAGAGGAAAATCCATTTGTTTATTCTATAGTCATTCACTGAGTTACTCCTGGGTACCAGGCACTGTTCTAGGCTCTTGGAATATATTGGTGCGCAAAACTGAGTAAAAGATTTTAAAAAGAAAACTCGCCTTCATGGAGCCTGCATTCTAATGGAGTAGAGAGAAACAAACTAAAAGCATAGTAAATGTGCAAATTATGCAAAGCATACAAAAACATTAAAGTGTGTGGAGCAGTGTTGGGGGTTGGCACTTTTAAGGAGGTGACAGGAAGAAGTCTCCCTGAAAAGACATATGAGTAGAGGTGAAAGAGGGGAAAGACTGAGCTAGCTGTCCAGGGAGAGGACCGGAGGGACAAGCAGTGCACTGGGTTTGGGAGCAGTAGTGCCACTTGGAGGCTGTGCTTTCTCATTCTTTTTTTTTTTTTTTTTT